CGTGTTCGAAGTTCAAAATGGATTACGACAGTTTTCTGAAGACCATAAATCTTACCATTGCTGCCTCGGGGGCATCTGAGTAGGGTGGGGAGGGGGAATCTAGTCTTACTAAATCTTAATCAATTCACTATTTTTTTCCTATTTTTTCAGGTTCAAATCTTCCTAAGGCTTTCTCTGAACTCATTTTATGGCTTCTAATTATTATTTCTAATCTGTTCTTTCATTCCTTATTCTCTTCGGCACTTGGCCTACGACCACATCACGGTGAAACAAAGGTTCTCTTACAATCACCAAAATTAAGCAACGTCGAGCCTGGTCAGTGTCTAGATAGGAACTAAGAAATGTAGCTCATCAGAAAATTTTCTATAGAAATAGGGATTCAATAGCGAGATGTTTGTGGCTTTTTGTTTGTGGGAAAGAGGTTGTAGGGTGAAAAAATAATTCATCCCACTCCCACAAGGCCACATAAACGAAGCTGGAAAAATGAGGACTAGGCACCTCCAGACCAAATAGTCGAGTGTAAGTCAAAAAGGATATGTATTTTCGCCATAACGTCTTTAGTTTTGTTATACTGCCTTCTGCTCATGCGTGCTTATAGTTGGTACTATTGTGGTCACGTGATCAAAGTTTGAGCTTGATCGCACTAGTTTTCTTGCTGCTAATACAGTGTAAACATAACCACTCCGCGAGCAGTGTTCACAAATAAGGAACAAAGATCAGTCAACCGATTTCTCTGGTCGGAAGCTGTGTCAGGGGCTGAAATTCATCCGTGGCTTTTAGCACAATGCGGCCACAGTGCACGACCTTGTAGAAGTGTGTATGTACAGATACAGAAGGTTAAAGTGGCCGGACAAACATGACGTATAAAAAAGATTTTGACTTGTTTATAATTCTGTATTTGTCTTTTGGTTGCGTTCGACTAGTTTGTAGTAATATGAAATGTCAGACGACAAGGATGGTTACTACAAATACTGTGGGAGATAAGATCATAATAGTTGTTGGCAGGCTTAAAATTGTACAATTCTATTAAAATTGTAATACCTTTTAAAAGTATTCACTTTGTCTACATCTAAAAAAATGTTGTCAAAAAGTCCACGTATTTATTTTCGTTTTTCTTTAAATTTAAAAACAGATATTTTTGTAACTAACGGCTGAATTTTGACAAGACATCAATTTTTTTCTGTAGAAAACGATTAATTAATCAGAATTATCGACGTAAATATATACTTATATACGGAAATTTAAATAATTTGATCTAAAATTAAATAACAGACGATAAATATAAAAATATACTTTTAAAATTTTTCTGCAAAGTAAATGTAACTGTATATGTAATCTTACTTATTATAAAACGCAGATTGTGTGTGTGTGTGTGTGTGTGTGTGTGTGTGTGTGTGTGGGTGTGTGTACGTTTATATATTGGATCGGATTTCCTACGTTTTTCAACCGATTTCAACAAAACTTCACAGGACTACGTAAAATTACCTTGCAGTGGTTCTGACAGCGCCCAAAATTGGAAAAACACTATTGTTTTTACACAAAATCAATTTGAAAACACGATAAAACACGATTCAGTCGCCAGAATAAAAAGGGGACAACTCATATCGAGTTATACTTATTATAAAACCCAGGTTGTTTGTGTGTGTTCGTTTATATATGGGATCAGATTTCCTACATTTTTCAACCGATTTCAACAAAACTTCATTTTTTTTGGCAGGTAGTGTTTCTTATTGTCTTGCACACATTTTTCTTTATTTTTACATTCAGAATGCTTTAAAAATTCCATTTACAAGACAAGTGTTTATAATAAAATTCTATTCAATCGATAGACTCATAACGATTGAAAACAATGTTTTTGTTTGAGTTTGACTAATTCGTAAAAAAAAAGGAAAAAAAGAACTAATTAAGACATGCGTGTCCGTCAACCTTAAACAATAATCTTTGTCAATTTTATTTCTCAGTCTTTATGATGGTCGATACTTGATCTATCTCTTACTGTTACATCCCCGGACAACGCCGGGCTCTACTGCTAGTGTATATATATATATTGTGTGTATTTAGGCAGCATCTTTTCATTCATGCACGTTTCATTAAATAATATAGACAAGTGTTGTCTATTTATTTTATGTAAAATTTTTTCGTAACGTCTGATAAGTTTAATAACATTATCGTTGAACGAAGAAAGAAATTCACAATATTGATACATATTTTTTTTAATACAATCTAAGCTTTCGGCTTACATACATATATATATAAAATGATCATTACTTGTTAAAGATATTAACGGTTTTGTTCATAAACATAAGGGAAGACAGAGAAAATAACACAAGGGGGAAGACAGAGAAAATTTTAGCCTTACGCGAATTTATAAAATATCAGAATTCATTTCAAAAATTCAGAAAGAAAGAAAAAATCGCTGTATTTTTTGTCAAAATGAAGAAGTGTGTGGCTAATTAAAAGAAATAAATTGTCACTTTAAAGGTAAATAAAGATTCCCTTTTTTCTTTTTTTAGAAATTTCATTTGATATTCTTTCGAGTCATTTCTTGGCTTGAGACTAATTTAGTGAACCATTCACATTCCATATGGAAATGTATTAACATGTCCGCTGAAGCTATAAAATGTCCGACCAGACCAAGAACAAGTTTTGTCGTGAGGATAAACGCGAAAGCCGACGGAGAGCGGCGAGACGTATCGATTGCGAATGGGCAAAGACTTTTTTTCACGATCGACTGGGCAGAGTGCTGTCAGGAAATGGAATCGAATGGTCAACGTGGCTAAAGTCCGATTAGAAAAGCTACTCGTCCGAAAGATTACACTTTTGTAAGCGCCATCAGCCTTTGTGTCTCATCTACAAGGACAAAATCTATCATTAAAATCAGACCACTAGGTCGGATCTTATTCAATGAGATACATAATGTTTAAGACAATAAGTATTATACTGGAAGGACCAATTATTCGTCGGAGTTATTATTAGCATAATCGTTAATACGAAGTTGTGAGCTGTGCACGCATATACCCACGCTAGAAATAACGCAGTGATCTCGATTTTGTAATATTTCAAAGTAAGTTTCACTAAATGCATTTCCGCACGGACGTAGTACAGAACAGTACCCTGTGAGAAAGAGGAAAAATAGTGGACCAATCAAATCAGTCTATTGTGTTGCTCAGAAGTCTTAAACTCGTAGCAAATTGAATGAAATATAAATGAAGTCGGCGTTCCAAAAAGACATTAGACTCACTCACTTCAGAAAGGATTTCACATTGGTTACCGGCGACTTCAAAGCGACTGTTTCCAATTGTCCACACATTTCACCTGACAAGGAAACAGTTTAAAGTTTGACGGAGACCGTTTTATCTATCTATGTATTTTTTCTTTCAGGTATATATATATAACTTAAATATCTGAAAAGAACACTGATTTCACTCAAATCTTTTTCTTTATTAAACAACTGTTATACCAACTTTTCTTGTTATTTCTCATTTTTGTCTGAAGAATATATTCAGAATTAGCGTTATTACACTGTTAATAATATGCATGGTACCAAACTGCTAACGGTACCAATATCAGAATTGTTCCATGTTGTGAAATTTAATAGCATACATGGCAGCAAACAGTTAATAGTAATAATGGCGCCAAATTATTAAGGCCTCCACTATCAGAACTGTTGCATTATCCCAAACTGTTAATATCATGCATGGTGACTGTGGTTGTAAAGAAAAGAAAAAGAAGCATAAAAAACCCCCTCAAAAAACTGTCAACTTATAGTAGCAATAAACGTCTGCAATAGATTTCTTCTGTCTCTCGACCGCAACACTTGTAGCCAAATCACAGTTCAAACGGTAGTCCGTCGTGACAGGTAACGTAGAAACGACAAAATGGGGTCACACATCCAACTTTCACTTCTCACCAGGAAAAAACACGTGTTCGTCCACCAAGCTCAGAAAATCTAATCCCACATAAGCGAAAAACAACGGCTTTTGTTCACCGAGAGATCTTTCTGATTGGCCACGCCATTCAGGGGAGGGAAGAACATTAGCAGAGATTCTGGTCCTTAAAGTAGATTTTTGTTAACTACTTTTTGGTAATTTTTCTTGGGCAAATCGCACACAAAACACGAACTCTTTTTCGAGGTAACTGATTATCTATTTCACTAAAGTGCTAGACTGTTAACAATGCGCATAGTGCCAATCTGTTAATGGTGCCAACATCAGAATATTTGCATAGTGCCAAACTCTTAATAGTATGTATGGTGCCAAACTCGTGCAAAATATCTGGTCACCTATAAAGAACCGCTTTTTGAGATCAATAGTTAAAATGACTTTCAGTGAATCAAGCCTAAGATAGGACCATACACCTTCGGACTTTGTGGGGTGACGTTACATAATCACAAAAAAAAAAAAAAAGAATTGTACCAAATAAAAATAAAGCACATTACTTGAGGCTCTTCCACAGAAACAATAACTAAAATGCATAGCATGTATAAATCAAAGCGAAAAAAAAATAACATCATCAAGATGTTCACGTTCCACAGTACTTCAAACAAAAAGTTAGGAAGGAAACCCTCATAAACATTAGAAAGAGCAATAACAGTTACTAGACTTGAAAATATCGATAGAAATTTGATGCAAAAGAAGCAGTGGTTACTCAGTCTATGAATGCCGAAAGTTTTCTTATATTATTAAAGGAGTCCACCGAGAATCAATGATGACCCAACCTAGCACATTTGAGTGTCTTGCACAGGTTGGTATGATTGTAATGGTTGAGCTTTCGCTCTTTCTCTCTCCCTCAGGGCACACAAGTGTGTGACGTCTGGAGGTGATTAGTTTTAGTTTCGGCTTTTCCTTCTATTTACCCATAGATTGGGTGGGGAGATGGATTCATACATTTCCAATGGTACCATGGCGTAAGTGAATGTAATGACTTCGAATAGAATTCGAACTCGGCCCGCCAGTTCCTCAATCCGCGCAGCAATCAATTATCCACCACGACTTCTTATAATGTTACCATCGATATCTATCTATATCTCTTCATATCTATTTCCATCTCTTCATATCTATCTAAATTTCTTCATATATATCTATATCTCTTCATATCTATTTATCTATCTCAGTCTCTTCATATCTATCTATCTATCTCAGTCTCTTCATATCTATCTATCTATCTATCTAAGTTTCTTCATATCTATCTCAGTCTCTTCATATGTATATCTATCTATCTCAGTCTCTTCATATCTAAGTCTCTTCATATCTATCTATCTATCTATCTCAGTCTCTTCATATCTATCTATCTCAGTCTCTTCATATCTATCTATCTCAGTCTCTTCATATCTATCTATCTATCTATCTATCTCAGTCTCTTCATATCTATCTATCTATCTATCTATCTATCTCAGTCTCTTCATATCTATCTATCTATCTATCTATCTATCTCAGTCTCTTCATATCTATCTATCTATCTATCTATCTCAGTCTCTTCATATCTATCTATCTATCTATCTATCTCAGTCTCTTCATATCTATCTATCTAAGTCTCTTCATATCTATCTATCTATCTATCTATCTCAATATCTTAATATCTATCTATCTATGACTTGAGGACTTTCGATAGCAACAAAAACAATTAAAAATAAGGATATTACTATTATTATGTTGACGTTCCACACTAATTCGAGCAAAAGGTTAGTAAGGAAACCTCCAGCACTATTGAAAAGTACAATAAACGTTAACGAACTTGAGAAAACTATTATATTGAAAAATTGTTGAAAGAGGAATATTTTTTTGCGAATTATTATTTTATAAAGAAGATAATTTCACGCTAAGAAAGGCAATAAAGCCACTAAGACGTAAGAAGATAGTGAGTGTTAGAGAATACGAGAGAAACAAAAGCGCTATTAAGAGGAGAGTGAACAATAATAGAACAAGAATTAAGAAATCCCAGCCGAAACTAGTAGTGGATACTCTTTTTATAAGTGCCGATTGTTTCCTTATAAGGAAATTGCAAATATCACCTTTAATATTACCATCGATAGCTATCAATATCATATCTATTTATCGGTCTATCTTAATAGCTTGATATCTATGTCAATCTGCCCTTCTCCATCTATCGAAATGTATTTATATCTAAGTGTGTTCATATCCATCTATCTTCATATGTATGTATGTATGTATGTATCCAAGTGTGCTTATATCTGTGTCCATATCTATTTAAGTGCGTTCATTTCTATATTCATATCTATGTATGTACCGCAGTGTGTTCATATCTATGTATCTAAAAGTGTTCATAGCTATCTAATGTTTTTATATCTATATTCACATCTGTGTATGTATGTCTTCATATTTATGTTCATATGTATGTATGTATCTAGATAGGTTCATATCTATGTATGTATCTAAGTGTCTTTATATCTGTGTACATATCTAAGTGTGTTCATATCTATCTATGTATGTATGCACTTGTGATCATATCTATGTATGTATCTATTCGTGTTCATATCCTAGTGTAATCATATCTAAGTGCATTCATATATATTTTTATTCATATCTATTATGTTCATATCTATTTATCTAACTTGTAGATATCCATATATTGTGATCATATCTATCTATGTATATAAGTGCGTTCATATCTATCTGAGTGTGTTCATATCTATCTATCTATCTATCTATGTCAAACGTATTTATCTAACTGAATAACTGGATATCTATGCCCTATGGCTTGAGGGCTTTCAGCAGTAAGGAATGGCTAATATTAACATTATCATAATCCACATATCCGTTGAAATTAATTTATTTTTAAGTTCTTGAAATTGGAATCTTGTAAGGGGATTTATGTTTAATCTAAACAAACCTCCAAGTAAATATTAACCTTGAATTCCGTTCAAATTCTTGTTCAGGCTTCCTAATGCGATGTTTTGAAAATTCAGCTTCAAGTCTAACCTTATGTTCGTAGATGACTCATGAGAATACAGGACTTAACCTCTTATTACATTACATCTTGTTTAACTCTGAACTCCGTCAATTACTCTCTCTAATGTGTTCCTATCAATTACTCTCAGCCAGTGTGTGTATGTGGGAGCTCTCTTCGAACATCGAGCATATATTTTCATTTGGGTGTAAGAGACTTTCTCTTCTCCCTCTTGGGTGGGTGTTTATATGTCATGTCTTTTTCCTTCACAAGTGAACGTCCCCGGTGAATCTTTTTTTACCATATCAGTGGATAACTTTTTGAGTAAGCCACTGATGTCAGGTGATGTGTGGATCAGCCCTTGGTAGCTAGGAGATTATCTCTCAGCTTTTTTTTTGATTGTCTGGTGTGACATTGGTTGCTAAGTGTATTCTGGTATTATCACATAATACAATTCATGTTTTATCCTCAAATTACTCTTATGTGATAATGTTGCTCAGATATCTAATTATAATAGATACGGCGACAATAGACAAGCCTTTGATGTGGCGACAAAAACAGTTAATCTTTTCGACAAAGTGATAATACTTTAAGAAAATAAGAAAATACATTTAAGAAAAGGGAAAATGTGATGTGACAGAAAATTAAAAAAAAATCTAAAATTTAATGTTTTTTAAAAACGGTGACCTATTAAATGTTGGCTAAAATACATATACACTTGTTCAAATTAATTGAAACAAAACGAATTACGTTATTATTACTTTTCCCCATTGAAACATGATCAGCTGCACATGTTAGTACTTCGTATGTCCATTCCACGAAGTCGTTCCTGGCAGATTGACCATAGATTCTCGATTGGATTTAAATCAGAAGAGTTTTCGGGCCAGTCTATAGTACTTTGATTTGCTCACTGGTAAGGCTCGCCAGTGTGTTTGTGCAGCGTTACAATTTTCGGACGCTTCACTGCTGTAATGTCCATCGGACACGATGGTCATAGGACAACTAATCGACAGTCGAGACAGTAGGGTCTGGGCGTGATAAAAATCTGATGCAGTCACGGATGACGCAATATTTTTCAATGCTAAACAAATTTCATCATACATCCCGAAAATAGATTCATATTACTGCACACCACTGCAAATAACCCAATCTGAGGAAAAAACAGAAATCGATTACACCCTGTCACTCCAGTGGGTCTAAAACTGACCGTATAGTGAAAGAAAGGAAACTAAAGCGGTTGTTTAATTTTTTGATTTGCTTATTTTTGTCTCTACAAAGTTATATGCTTTCGTAATCTTGACAAAATACAAAAAGATGAAAATAAGTGTCATGGGGAAACACACCTATTCTATAGTTAATAGACTCTCCCACCTGATCTTCGGTGATTCTACAGAAAGCAGTACTTCAATGTGATGTAGCCAGTTAATAATTGTCGGACAGTAGGCGGGTTGTTTTCGGGGTCACCTTCAAACGTATATTCTAAGTCTTGCCAGAATTTAAGTCTCTCTCTCCCTCTCTCGTCATATGGGTCTTCCTATGTGTCGGCGTGTGGGCGTGTGGATACTGTGCTTTCTACGAACGTGGATACCACATTCTCGCGTGGATGTAAGAAACTTTTTCCCCTCTCAGGTGGGTGCTCATATATCTACCTGTCGTCCTGTTTGACTCATACTACGTGCAGAGAGTCGACCACCTACTTACATGGTCCAGTGCAGCCACTGATATTACAATATGAAGAAATATAGAGACTGAAATGAAAAGGAAGAGAAGAAAGATGTTCAAGGCAGAGAGATTAAGCTCATTTTGGAAATCGGAACAGTATAACCTTCCTGCATATCTTTCATCGCAATCCAACTTTTATTGAGGGTACTTTTTAAATGGATTTCACCCCAAGAAAGGCAGCAAACACATAAGATACACAGATTTGAAGATTAAAATTGGCTCGAGAGCATAGAACTGGAAGAGAGTTCCACAAGTGAGAAGTACGAGAAAAGAAACTGTTAACAAAGGACTTACGGTTACATGTAGCTAACTCAACTGTATATTGGTGAGACCTCGTCGACAGTCTGGTACTACGCTTAAATTCATAAAGTTTAGGTACCCTGGCGAAGAACTCCTCCGAACAATTACCATAGAAGTATTTGTAGAAAAGACAGCGAGGCAACCTTACCACGATTATAAAGTGAGTGATACCGAGCTGCCAGATCAGGGCCAATAATATTTCTGATTTGGATTTAATCAAGTATATCCTTAGCTTATCTTAGCTTGGCACAAGAAGACATTTATGAGGTAACCAGGGAATATCGAACTCGCTAGTAATGGTCAATCGGAATTACTCGTTAACCATTACCTTACATCGTGACGGCATGTTGTTTACTAAGCTTAGCTTTGTTTGTCACCAAATTACAAAAACTGGCCATTCAGAATTAATTATCAGCCACACTATATCGTTAGCCATTACCCCATACTAAATCGCTCTTAACTTTGATCTTATGCCAAGCTTTGTATATATAAATACAGAGATTTTATTAAATATCATCTGCTGGGTTTTGGGTAACAAGAGATTTCGAAGACAATATTGGTTATAATGTACGCATCTCTTGATTTCACGACATTCAAAGAACGTGTCTAAGGTTTTCTCTTTTGAGGGGCCGTGTCCCTTGAGGACGTGGTCGATCATGGGTCTTCACAACTTCCTATCTTTCGAAGCTCTTAGCAGCGGTTTTTTTTTTTACTATCCCTCCCTGTTGTGCCATCCATTTGCACAAGTTCGTTAGGTTTTTTTTCTATCTTTGGTCTTGTGAGTATCAAATTTGTCAATCCTTATATCCTCATTATATGTTCCAGAAATTTCAACTCTTTCTTCCTGATTCTAAGTATCCTTTACTTAAAACTTCCTCGTTGCTTACATACTCCCTCCGTTTTATTCTCACCATCATTCTGCTGGACAATATTCCTGTTAGCTCGAGTTTCTTTTTCTGCGAGAAAATTGTCCAGCATCCACTGACATATAGAAGAACTGATATTACATAACAGTTCAGAACAGTTTTCTTTGCTGCTAATTAAATTTTCCTGTTTCTTAATATCTTGCTTGGCTTTTGGAAGGCATCTTTCCCTATTCCAATGTGCCTTCAGACGGTGGTGTCATTTTCCGTCTTATGTTAGTACACTGTACTTGCTTGATTTTGACATCTCCAACTTATAATTCACTTCTTTAACTGTTTCTCTTGCTGGAAAGCATACATTATGTCTTTTTTTCGTCTCACCCCCCCCCCCTTAGTACTATGTCTAAGTGTTATTTCAGTCTCCTTCCTGTATCTTCCCTCAATAGTTGTCATTAGCGTACCTTATACTGTTAAGACTGTGTCAAGTCAATAGTAAATCTTGGCAGGATGTCTAGTTCTCGTAGGAGTTTTTTATTATCCCTGACCCGTAGAGGATTATGGGCACCACATGTACTACAGCCGCAGAAGAAGTGGGGTTTCTTGGGTAAGATAGCCTGAAGGGGCCCAACCCTCGGTTTGGAATTCAGAGTTTTTCCTTCTCCTAGACCAGTGCCACCTAATGCTATGGAATCCAGCCTGTATGCTATTTACCCATATATGTGTGTGGAGGAGAGAAGAAAAGGATTCATACCTTTCTCAAGGGTATTAGCACGTAATGGATTCGACTGGAATTCGAACACGTCTCT